GGGGGGGGGGGGGGGGGGGGGGGGGGTGGGGGGGGGGGGGGTGGGGGGGGTGGGGTGGGGGGGGGGGGGGGGGGGGGGGGGGGGGGGGGGGGGGGGGGGGGGGGGGGGGGGTTGCTTGAAGGCATTCTACAGCAGCTTGAACACATGATTTCCATGCAGCTGGCAAGAAACGGCTGTGTTCAGCCTTCGTCACAGCCCAACACTCAACAGGCATCAATACAAGTTGTAAAGCCCTGTGAAAGCGCAGACAGCCTGTGGGTTCAGGATCTGGGGCTTGTAAAAACTTGGAACTTAGTGTGACTTGCACAACGCCTCACAAACCTTACCGACCCAGGTACAAGCTATTGGTGGATCTTAGCCAACTGGCCTTCTACTTCGGTTTGGCTCCCATCTCGATGACGATGGCGGCCTTCATCGTGCGGAAAGGCCGGGCTGCGTGGATTTAGCAGGGCATTGAGTCTGCATAGCTTCACAGTCCAGCTCCCCGGTCCCTCGATCTGGTAGCAAGAACCCTGGAAGAATCCTAGAAGGCCTTCCAGACGAAGGGCACAAGTTATGTTCGGAACTACCCGTAGGCCCCATAGTAGTNNAGTAGTTCCTTTTTTGGGGTTCATATGTAGAATCCTATAAGGCAATCCCAAAAAGGAACTACTATGGGGCCTATGGGTAGCCTGGTATGGGAAATCTCCCAGTCGATACGAATCGCAGGCATCTCCCAGGCCCCTCATAGTCCCGACACCCACATCCAAATCCTGAAATCGAGACTTTCGATTCTACCTAGTCTCCATTGTAGTTCCTTTTTGGGGATACCTTATAAAATCCTGAATATACAACTGGTTAAACCAAAAAAAAGGAACTACAATGGAGACTATAGGTACCACCATGGAGTAAACTCAATCCAGCACCTGCTCTTGCTTTTTACCGAGTCTACAGAGGCCTTCTGCGCGGTGTCGCGGATCGAGCTCTCTCCAACCGGAAGCCTGAACTCCAATGTCAAGAAGCCTCCACCTGTAAACCCTAAACCCTAAACCCCTAACCCCGAGACCCTAAACCCTAAACCCCTGTAAACTCTCCGAGCTGGCCTCAGCAGCCAAATGTCCCGGAAGCCCAACAGCTTCAGGCGCTTACTGTGGGATTCCCGCGGGGTCGATCGCTGGCTCCAGGGTTCCTATTCAGGGGCCTTAATTAATAATGACCTTTTCTGTTTGGGGGGCTCCTTATTACAACTATAGTATAATGGGCCCCAAAACTTTATTCTAAGTAATCAGGCCCCTACAAAAGTCCAGCACCACACCATGTCACAATGAAGACTGGGAGACTGGGCAAGGCAACTGGACGCAAGACTCCGAGACGACGTTTTATGTGCCTCAGCTGACCTCGGATACTTTTTTGGGGTAGTTTTCTAAATTAGGCATAGGGGCCTTGGGGGGATAATATCTTATAGTACATGGGTAGTTTTCTAAATTAGGGTCCCTTTTAGGGTTTTCCTTTTGGTAAGGGTGCCGTACTATACTGGGGATCTAAAGCGGGACCCTAATTTAGAGAACTACCCATATAGGGTTTCAGGTTCAGGGTTTGGGTCACAGAGTTTCAGTTTAGGGGTAAACGGTGTCAAGGCTCGTACCTCTGGAGGTTAGGCCCTTCAGGGTGTTGGAGCATTTGGGAGTGATCGGTGCAACTGCAGCCATCGACTTTGCTGGGTCCCTGAAGAGCTAATCCCGGTCGAGGCGGGCAGTATTCACATGGTGCCCTTCTCTGCATCAACAACGCTAGCGTTACCGTTCTTGCTGAAACTCGTATGAGTGTGCTTTTCTGCCACTCGCCTTCGGTTGACTCCAGGAGGAACGTTGTGTGAATACGCGTACCTTAATTAGGGTTGGTATAGGCTGTCAAGCCGGGCATTGAATTGAATTCCTGGCAGTTTTCAGGTGCTCAACCTCACTTTTCTGCGAATCATCCGCTGCTGCTTGGAGATGGCGAAGAGCGTCGTTGACCTGGCAAAGGCCAGTCACAAGCGGTTGAGGAGCTTCTGCGAAACCAGCTGGTTTGTTAAAGTGTTCCACTAGCCTACTATACAGCTTACTGCAGCTTCTACGACTCTAGGATCTGAAATTTTACTCCGCGCCCTGGGAATGTGCTTTGTGCTTTGAGGGCATCTCGCGACGGGATCTTGCAGATGTTGCCGTATCAGCTCTGTAGTAAGACATGGCGTTCCAAGAGAAGTCCCGAAAGACGAGCGCTGCAAGCCGAGGACCCTCCCCGACATCCCTCCAAACCTTACGGCCATAACCCGAGGGGTCCGACAGTCTACAGCCAAAAAACGACCCAAAGCGATGAAAGCTCCCGAGTCTGGGTGCTCCTTAGTCCAGGAAGCCCGGGTTCAGAACAGGCCAGCTGCTGAGTCCTCACATAGAAATGGCGGTTTCCGAAAATGGGGGACCCTAATATAGTACCCTAAATAGTAGGATCCTTATTATAAGGACCCCAAAATAAGGTACCCCATATTTTCGGAAACTCCCAAATCCTCAGCCCAACAGTAGTCAGCGGCCCCCGTCAGGCTTTGGACACTAGCACGTCCAACGAAACCCACTAACAGAAGAGTCTAGAGCTATACCATAGATGCCTAATCCGAACTGCTAATTAATGTCCCTATGTTAACCGCTTATACGAAACAGTTCTAGTAACCTGTGTTGCAGCCCTTCTAGCACCGTCCCGATATCCTAAGCCCTACCTCCTTGTGATAAATCCTAACCCCCGAAGCCCCACAAAAGTCGATGCACTTCATAGAACCCTCCAAGCTTTAAACCCCTACATACCCTAAACCTATACACCCTAAACCCTGTATGAACGACGCACAGCAAAAACGAGTCATTGCCAGGCTCAGGCCATGCTTCAGCGGGTGGTACAGCTCTTAGAGGTGACTTGGCTGCCCAAAACGGCGCTTGAAGCGTCGAGTACAGTATAAAGTATATTTATATGCTTTGGGATAGTATAGAATAGAATAGTATGGTGTAGTTTAGTGTGTATTCTGGCACATCATGGTATATACGTAGCTAAAAGTATAGTACAACATAGTAGAGTGCGGCCTCCATGTATTGGGTTTCGATCCGAGTCTGAGTTCAAGGAAGACTTTCTGCTTGGCGGTTGAGAATGATGTACCGTTATGCCCGGTTTTCAATATCAATCCCTGTTCTAGCGCTCGCCTTGCTCGTTGCAGGGCTCCTACGCACATAGTCGATAGTATATAGTTTGTATAGCATAGTATGATATTGTATCGCATAGTCTCGTGCGGCATAGTATATAGTATAGCATGTCTAGCATGGTTTAGTTCAGTGTTGTAGTGTCGCAGGTCATGGATGCCTTCATCGTCTTCGAGAGTCACCGCAAGGAGACGTGAGTGGTTTAGGTGCTCATGGTTTCAAGAGGGAAGGGTAGGCTCGAAGCACATAGCTGTGCACTGGGTCTCGGTGTTACGAGTCACACTGTTAACGTTGGAACACAGGTAGTTCGACGTTCGAGGGGTTCAGGCATCTCGTGGGGGATGCCTGACAGACAAAGCAACATTTATCTGCAGGACTGCAGGGCATGCCCGACTCAAAGCAAGCTGCTCGTCTGTCCTGTTCCCCTCGTTGAAGTAAGACTCAGCCGATGACATGTTGCCTCTTCCTCCCTGGTGGCTTCACCTTCAAGGCATGTCCCCAGATAGTCTTTGATTTGAACTGCTTCTATATACCTACTTGTACATGTAGTGCTAGTCGCTAGTCTTCAGAGCTCCGGGTAGAACTCCGGACGAGTGGGTGACTGCGAGCCTTTTTTGCTGTTCCCGCTGTTGTCAGATGCTGTAGGAACCTTGTCGCTCAAGGCCCAAACCTTAAGCCCATAAGCCGACATGCTACACCCGAACCCATAAACCCCAGACCGAAACCTAAACCTGAAAGTTTATGATGGGTTGTTTTTTCGCACGTCCTCAAGTCAACCATTAAACCTAAAACTCTTACCTTAACCTACCAGAACCTACTTTTTTGCAGGGTCCCTATAAATCCCATAGTAGGATTTATCATAAGAATCTACAAAAGGTGGGTTATGCTAGGTTGAGGAGTAGCTGTCAGGCCCTGGCCTTCTGTGTTTTGCCGCCAGCTCGCACAAACACCCCGGAGCGCTGAACACAAAACTCCCAAACCCGAATCTTAAAGCCACAGTAAGGCCGAACGCCCCGAACCCTTACTATAGTATCCCGTATAAATTTTGTGGTACCCTGATAGCCCCCGCCTCCAACATAAACGACCGAGTTTCTCTTCAGATTTACAAAAGCGCAGGATGCAGCAACCTGTTGGGCATTGAGGTCTGGCCTCCCAACTTTTCCAAGATAGCCACCAAACTTAACCCACGCTGTTTTCCAGCCGACACTTGTCAAAAAATCGCGCTGCGAAACCACAAGCTAAAGCCCTCAAGATCCCTTAAGTCCTTAAGCCTCCGGCTAGCATGCCATTTCGACAGCTTTCTGGCAGGAGCAGGGTGCCTTGAGTCGGGCGGACGGGTTCCTCATCGACGAGGAGGAGGCGACTTTTGTTAAGTGAAAACACATAATCAGATCACTAGACGCGTACCCGAAGTACAGTTTGCTTGCCAAGTTGGCAGCTAAAAGGAAGAGCGGTGTGAAGGCAGGTGGCGAGGTCGGTTAAAATTTTAATCGGATGTCGGTATATAGATGTATGTACGACATGCGCCATGTACGCGTGCATGTGCGCAGAATCATCGCTCTCTCTCTCTCTCTCTGTCCCTCTCTCTCTCTTTCTCTCTCTCTCTCTCATTCTCTCTCTCTCTCTCTGTCTCTCTCTCTCTGTCTCTGGCTCTCCCTCATGTGGACGCAGCTGGGTACAAAGCAGAAATGCATTTGCCGCACAATGGTTCAACACGCTGTGTCTGAACTTACGGATGTGGGTCGTCGCACTTGCCAAGCTACCTCTTTGAGTTAGAGGCAAAACTGGTTTTGGATAGAAAGCCACTAGAAGACACGTACCACTCCAGAACCCCTTCACCAGGTTCTCTGCTGCTTGTCCTACTACCGTGTGCAGCAGCTGCATTGCGGCGCTGTCGTGCCACTTACACACGCCGATCACGTGGGCTTCGAGCAACTTGGAGTATTAGGTAGGGTTGACTTGAGTGCAGACACAAGCTACACCGCAAACCACCCACACCAACACTGACTTTTCAGAAGCACGGCGGCAATTTCTTTATTTACACATGCTCAATGACATGCCTCCAGCAGCTAAAGGCACATCCGGCGGCTAAAGCTCAAGACTAGAGGCCTTCGTAGATTGGTCCAAGTTGGGTGTAAGCACGGTGTCGACGGCCAGTGGTTTTCCCAGAGATCTGGAATCGACCCTGTCCACCAGAAGCCACCGAGGCACGTGGACATCTACACTCCCGATGGCATGAGGCCCGCTCTCTTCCGGGACCGTTGAAGCCCAAATTTGGCATACCGCGAACTGCGCCCCCGAATTTTGGAAATGGGGGCTTTTGAAGAGTCGGGAGGCCTTGTATGGCGGTGTAGAGGGATTTTATTGAGACTGTGCAGGGTATGATCGGTTGGTACTGTAACTGCTCCTTGCATCCAGTGTTTCAGAATAGTGAGGCGAAGTAATGCTACAGGTAGCAACCACCAGAACGACGGCAAGAATTAGATAGCTGCTCCAGAAAATTCGCAGGCAGTGGAGGTGCTCCCAGCCTGGTCCACTAGTTGCACCCTATTTAATATAAGGGGCCTAAATAATTACCTATACCCTTTTGGGGGGGCTCCTTATTATATGTTTATCATCATAGTATAATTTTCCCCAAAACCTTATTCTAAGTATTAAGGCCCCTATATATTGCAGCCTATTTAACACAGGAGGGGTAGACAAGGTCCCAAGACGGCGCGACTTGAACCCGGCTTTGGGCCCGATAACTCTAAGCCCCAAACCGAAAGCTAAAGCCCTAAACCCTGGGGTTAGGGTTTAGGGTTTAGGAGTGGAACTTAAACCAAAAGCCTTAAACCCTAAAGCCCAAACATTATAAACGGCAGGCCCTAAACTTTACAACCCCTAGACCCTCAAGCCCAAAGCAAGAAAGGTGCTTGATGCGGGACATCAGCCTGAGCATGGATCCCGGAGAGTCTCCTGGCTGCCTTCTGTGATGGAGATTCGATGCACTGGGGCCTATTAGTCTACCTAAAGCTAAGCCACGGTTAATTCATATCATTTTGCCCTCAAAAGGTATCTAAACAGGGCCTCGGGCCATGGAAGTGGTCTACAGTGCTTGAGAACTGCAGGGCTTCCGGTAGTGCCTCCGAGTTCGTCTTTTGCAGCCTGGAAGCGCGTTCTGATGGGATTGAGCAGGTTTTGCTACCGAAACGACTGACCAGTTTTGTCGAAGCATTGTTCGGTTACGCTGAGCCATTGGGCCGCCGCAAGCCTTTGGCTCGAATCTGCGATGCTCGCTGCACGTGTTTCGGCTCGTCGCATACAAAAAGGCAACTGGCTCGAATCTGGATTTCAAGTCTGGCTTGCTCGGGCCAAAGGCATGCCAAGCTTGAAACCCAGATTCGGGCCGAAGGTTTGCTAAGAGCGCGCGCATGCCTGAGTCGAAATCCAGATTCGGGCTAGTTTTTCTGAGAGCCCCAGGAGGCCGAACTTGAAATCCAGATTCGCTCCGAAGGTTTGCTCTAAGCACCACTAGCCCAATACTGTATGCCAAACTTGAAGCCCAGATTTGGGCGAAAGGTGAGTTGAGAGGCAGAACTGTCAGACCTGAAAATCAGATTTGGGCTTCAAGCTTGGCATGTGTGGGTTTCAACAGGCTCGTTCGCGCGTTAGAGTCTCAGGCAAAGCAGGGTGCGTCGAAGCGTCATGCATGCGGGCGGAGCATGGATCACAGCACGTCATGGCGTCAAAGGCACGGTGGACAGTTTCAGGTCAAGTGCGAATGAAGCAAAGTGCGTCAGTGCACGAAGCAAGGTGCAACAGGACGTCACAAGACAAGCGCAGTGCGTCAGGCGGAGCGCATCGGAGCGACTGCGTCAGGGCTTCACGAGCTTCCCTTGTTTTGAGAAACAACGTGGGGCTCCAATCTATGCTTCCCGAATCTACCATCTTGTATATGACTCAACCTGTCACTCCGGCCGTGTCTTCGGTACCAAGGAGTTGCTTGATCATGGGACCCAGTGGCATCGGCAAGTCCTCCCTGCTCAGGTGCCTTGGGTCTTCTGGGCCCATCACATCCTGCAACCCCCAAGAATCCTCAACTTAGCCCTCTGAGTTTATGGCTCGTAAAAAACCTGCGATCCACAAACCCTGGACTTAGACTTAACTAAACCGACCCTGCAATACCCCGCAATCATGGTTCAAGTGTTTGTATGAGCTGAAGGTATTCACTCTCAGGGTTTGAGGAGTAGACAGAGGCTTGATGTGATGTAGCATGCCCGTGTCTTGTCCCCGGCGGATCTGAAGACTGTGCTTCTCGAGTCCGATAGAGCTAAGGGATCTCCTTTAAACCCGAAGGAGCGGCAGTGGTGATGGCAAGGACAGGAAGAGGAATGGTCTTAGCAATCATAGTTTTATCCAGAGTCCTCGTAGTAATCATGAAGAGTGTAGCTGCGTTGCCACAGCAAGACCAGGAAGCAATAATGCGAACAACTCGCAGTAATAGTCATACAAGCAACAATGATCATGCCGGGTTCCGCATTAGTTTGATGCTCCCAGGGTGCTGGGGCAGCTGTGGCCGCTGTTCCGAAGCCCTGCAGACAAAGGCACTCTTGAACGAGTTTCGGGTTCCGTTGGAGTTAGAATGTAGAAGGTCAGAATGTCGGCTTCAGGAGTTTAGGGTCAACAACGACGTTTGGGGAGGCGAGGCCCCGAATTGGTCCGGGGGTGTTGAAGTTGAAGCTGTGAGGATCTGCCTCAGACGTTCGCATGCCCATGTACAGCCATGGACCCGAAGATCCTTTCTTCATCTCTGGGAGAGAGAGGCTGGTCAGGTGACAGATGTAAGTCTCATGTTCAAGAGGGAAGCTGCCAAGGTCGTTGCCGACCTTGGTGAAAAAAAACAAACATCCCCCCAAACAAATCTTCAAGCAGCTAGGTCTCCCCTAGCCGCTCTCAGGGGAGCAGCCTTGAGTGAAGTACCTATTATCACCATCTGGCTCGACCACTCCTGAGTCTTCATTGTTCCGACAGAAATCTGCAAAGATGCGAGTTCCAAGCCTTTAAACCCTGGAGCTTCCAAGTTCGGCAGAAGGGATCACCGTGCAATTCCAGACTCGACCACGTTCGAGTCCATGATTGGCACAGAAACGATCCATAAGAACATGAAACTATCCGATTTCTAGGTGTTGTGGATGTGAACCTGCTATCGTGAATGCAAAGAACTACCGAGCAACCTTCGTTAATCTTGTTCGGCCAACCTCGATCAGTGCCTGCAACGCGAATTGAGTGTTGAAAAGAGGCCCGAATGCTCGTTGCTCGAGCACAAGGCTCACAGTGCTTGGGCCTTTGGGTGCCGAATCCAACCGCATCTCATTGACTGCAGGCGATGATGCTTCGTTCAGTCGTCCTGGACCTTTCTCTGCAACTCGGCCCGGTTGCTTGAAGTCTATGTCAGGACCGAGGAAAAAACATAGACCTGCGCCCCAAAGCGTTTGCATCATTCGTCTCCGGAAGCTGCAAATCGTACATCAAGGGTTGGAGCTACCAAGGTGTTTTTTCTGGCCCAGCGTCCATACCTCTTCCAGGGGACGCTCCGCGAGCAGGTGCCTAGGGCCTAGGGTTCTGACACTACACCAACCACACACACCCTACTCGTAGAATCCCGAAGCCCTAAGTCTATAAAGTTTAAGGTCGAAGTTGCATCTGGGAGGTGCCCTCCAGGTTCTGGATGGTGGGCTAATCTTGCTACTTGTGGCCGCTGGTAGTCTTTGAGCCATGAGGCCATGATCGCTATTATTGGTATGGATGTGTTGCTGCATGCACCCGACCTTCAATCCCTCGCCAGCCAGCTTTCTGACAGACTGTCCTTAGTTTGGTACAGCACGGTTCTTCTGCATTCCTTGCTTGTGCCCTGTGTTTCATGAATAGATGAGCACATGGCTCATGTTTAGTTTTTGTTGATGTATGCATTGCCGGGTTTGTGCCAGTTAGTGCTAGTGCTAACACTGGTACGGGTGCTATTGTTCAGAGTCCGCGTCGTAGTAGTAGTCATCGTCGTCTGCCCCAGCTGCTAATGCTACTGCCACTGCTGCAGCTACTACTACTACTACTACTACTACTACTACTACTCCTACTACTACGTCTACCACCACTACTACCACCACTACTACCACTACTGCTACTGCTACTGCTACTGCTACTGCTAGATCGGAAGAGCAC